CGACAGCTATCAGGATTTTGATAATCTGGTTGTAAGAGTGTCCGGTAAAGCATCATGCAACTCCGATGACGATTGCACCATTGCATCCAAAGGTGGCTCAAGCGTGAGGACAGGTTACTGCACCAACCGGCGTTGTGAATGTGTTTCGCACACTTGGACTGGCCCACGATGCACGGAAACCACAAGCGTCAAAAAGGGCGATAGCCAATACGGACCCCCACTGACCGTGTCAATAGCAGTTGCTGTTGGAGTCGTATTCGCCACGTTCGGATCTATTCTCTACACCATTCGCAATGATAAACGCGACAAGGAACGGTGGCTGAAAACTAATGCTATTCAAATGGCTCGTGCAAAGCAAGTGGGGTCAAGTGCGTCAGCGAATGAGGCCGAAATTGTTTCAGAAAAGGCTGGATACAGCACGAACTTTGTCTAGATAGATCGATGAAACAAAACACAGAGATCATTGCATTTGATTCATATAGGATCTTTTTGTCTTATGCTTGGTTGATCATATTGACATAGTTTGGCCCTTTGCGCCTTTGCAGCACTAACGAGAGACGCCGACTTCTGCGTCTCCATCAAAACATGATGGCACATTGTGCATGTGCCACTGCAGCAGTAGAAAACCACTCAGTACCCTGGGACACTTTGCATTTTGCTGGGTACAACCAAGGATTCATGTGTCATAGAAATGAGTAAAAATTGCCTACTCAAGTACTGAAAGGTTTTGTTTTTGTTTTTTGAAGATCAGGTATGTTTTGCTTACTGGAATCAAGTTACTGGTATCAATCAGCCCGTGTTTTCGGACACGATTCGTGTCACACGAACTATCGCGGTTTATCGGAAAACACACAATCCATTATATCGGCACACAAACTTGATGATATCGGCTTCAGCTGCACTAACCTAGCATTCTGTGGAGTAGAATACCAATAATGCGATCACGAATCGACGTACAATACTGCACCAGATACCAGCACCAACATGTTCGAGGCTTCGTATTCTTCTCTCTAGACTAAAGATTGTAATGAATACCTGTGCTCAGTAGGAATCGTTTAACGATTTCCCCTATTACGGTACTGCATAGTAAAAAAAATTAACCAGTTGCTAAAAGTCGGGCTAGTTTCAATTGATTGAACATCCCAGTAACAAGATTTTCGGTTCTGTAACAACAGACGTGTGATTCACAAGTCTTTACAAGTACAAGTAGCACAAGTTGTGAATGATTCATCCCACGTGCATGGTTGAATGAGAAATGAGGTAGGATCTCGGTGGTCGCTCCAGTTTTACCAAGAATCCATCTGGTCGTCTAGAAAGATGATGCAAAAATACATGATGCATAATCATATAACTTACCTGGCCTGGATTTCCAGCACTTTTCCTTTTCACATTTACTAGTTACTAGGTACTCTCTCTTGGGTATTCGATGAACGGGCGTACGAATCATATCCAGACGAATGAATTCCAATCTCCATGCAGCTCAAGTGACGAAGAAGTAAGCGATTGTTTCCTTGATGAGGTTTCCCTATTGGAATTTCTCGAGGGCAGTGAAATGGCACAGCGTGAGCTCGTCATCTCGACGACCTCAGCAGAGGAAACAAGTACACAAACTGGCACAACCTGTAATGGCCCCCCTGATATCAGCAACTACACCAAGATGCTGGCCACCTCAAGACGAACTGCTCCGCAAACTAAACCTTGGTACAAAAGGCGAAACGAAGAAGTTCTCTACCTGCGTGAAAAAGTAAAGCAACTCTCAGCGTGGTTGGACCACTTGAAACTTGAGGCTACTCTACGATCCGAGTTAGATAAGGAGCAAATCACGATGACATCGACCCCGGAGTTGGAGCTCTGGAAGTCTCTCGCTGCGCGTCAGGAAAAAGAGCGAGAAGAAAGCGAGGTCGAAAACGAGAAATTGCGCAAAATTCTACAACATCGTGTGGCTCAAGCCAAGGCTTTACAGCGTGCGTTCAAGAGGCGACTCCGCGAAGATGTACGTTATATATATTGTGCATGTCCCCGCATACCGCTAACCTCTAATCCTTCGAGTCTGTAGTCGGTTAGAGATGCAATGAACTTTTCCAAACGGTGCCGGGTAGATGTTCAAGTTTGGCTACCCCCGACCAACAGCGCTGTTGTTTTCAAGGATCTGAGTACCGGAATCGACGAAGAATTCGCCAACCTCGACATTCTGTTCGACTCAATTAAAATGAACGAACTACCATGTCCTGGGCGCCGCAACAATACCGTCAATAGTAGGGCCAAGGGCAAGCACGTAGAGTTTCTCGACTGTTATGCGTTTCCATTCGACTTCAAGCAGGTAGATCGCACGATGTGGAGCTTGGGATCTGACGGTATCGAGGACGTGAGCGCCACATTTGTAGAGGTTCGTGTGGTATATCGTTAAGCATCGTCGTTTTCGAGGTCATTGTTGACTTAGTTGTCGTGTGGATATTGCAGAAATTTCCCGCTGGAAGCTACACAAAGTGCAAGAGCGTGGGTTTTGCATTCAGATCCGAATCGCTCGACGTTCGGGTCGTCATGCGTAAAGTGGGTAGGCGCTATGCTCTCGACGACAGAACCGTTTTCATCTGGCGCACGCTGATTGAGCCCAAGCACGACAGCCTCACCACCATGGCATTCCGCGAGACAACATGTCTGGTGCTTCGTCCCGGGCAGGATACGCACACAGGACCTACAACCATAATGCAATCGCATCGCCAAGTGGCTGCAGGGGACGGCGGTCGCATTTCGAGTCATACGTACAAGTCCTTTCGAGGGACAGACATCTCCACTGCTGTGTGGAACGATTCTATCACCAAGTTTAACCACTATGTCGAGGACACCCTGCTGCAGCAACAAAAACTCAAATAGTTCCAAATTTGGACCAAATTCCTCAAACTGGTCCGGGAGTAAACAAATGTCAACAACCCTAATCTCTAAATGTGAGCGTAATCCATCCCACTCTTACTCCCTTACTTAGTTCAAGTGGTTAACGTGTCTCACCAAAAGTGAACACAATCAATTTTTAGGCCTCAAACTGGTTTTCGCATTCCCCGATACATTTCGCGATGATGAATAGCAGCTTCCAGGTGCTCGATGAAGCGACGTCCTCGCTGGCGCTGGAGCAGGCTCTGGCCTTTGCAGACGCATGTGAAGTGGGGAGCGAAGACGAGATGGCTGAGGCAGGAGATCAGGAGCTGGAAGCGCTTCTGGCGGACGTGCAGACCAGCGATTTGTTCGCTCCGGACACGTCGCTTGATCTGATGATGCAGATGCCTGACGCGCTCAAGCCGCTGCAGCCCGCGCCCCAGCCGTTAGGCGAGTTCACGGGCCTCATGCTGGGCACCGACGCTTCCGCTACTGAATCTGACACGTCGCTGGAGAGCGCACTAGCCGTACTAACGACAAATTGCGATGCGTCCACTAGCGACGGCAGCAGCAGCGACGACCCTCAGAGCGGAAACAAGGGGACACCTTCCGCCGGACAGAGAGCTAAGACGCTTAAGAAGATGAAGCGAGCGCGTGCGCCGTCGCCTACAAGAACCGCCAAGGACTTTGCAGCTGCCAACGCGGCCATAGCGGCAGCTGCTGCTGGAGCTAACGGTCTGCCCGCTGACGTCAATAAACCCACCAAGAAACGCATCCGCAGACAGAGAGAAGAGCTGCTGTATCTCCGTGTGAAGGTGAAGGAGATGGAGAGCAGTCTGGCGGAGCTTAAGAGCAAGGAGACGCGGAACAGGTCGCCAAGTGGGAGCTCCACGCAGCTGGCTGTCAATGGGAAGCCCGGCGCTGAGGGTTCGTCGCTGCTGGCTTCAGTATGGGAGAGTCTGGCCAACCGTCAGTACAAGGACAGAGAACGCGCCGAGCAGGAGAACCGCAAGCTTAAATCCACGTTGGAGGGACAGATCAAACTGGCCAAATGTCTTGAAAAGATCCTGGAAGACCAGCCTGAGGACGAGGTATTTTATTGAGTTGTGGTGGGTTTATTTTACCGGATATATTACTTACACTCTTTTGATCTTTCAGTCGATGCCTGGACGTCCTCATCGCGCACCGTCCAAACTGCTCGCACTTGGTGTTAGCAGCGACCAGAAGGCTGTGCATGCTCAATTATTGTCCGAATTGGATGCTGCATTCGATGAAGTGGACGCCCGATACGACATAAAAAAATTCGCTGAGATCGAGAAAGAAAAACTTGACGTTAGAGTCGCGTCGAGCTTGGATAACGGCATCGCATTGCAATTCGTGGGCTTCAAGCGGGTGCCGTTCCCGCAAGACGTGGCTAGCAGAGGCATGTGGCGCTTCACATCGTGCGAGGCAACCAAACACCAAGCGTATTTCTACGAAGAGGTAAGTCAGTGTATGCGATGAGTATTTGGTGATCCAACTAACGGCTTTAATCACCTCTACAGCACGAAACTTCGTCCAAGAACACAGTCGCCCGAACCTTCGGTCACAAGATCCAAAGCGAGCGTGGGAGTCTCGACTACCGCAGCGAGGGCGTGTTGGAGCGTCGCAAGCGTGGTGATCGCGTGGTAATAGTGACAAGAGGCCTGGCCAAGCCTATCAAGTTCTCAGCAGCGCCGGTGAATGGCATCCGCTTCCACGAGAACGGATGGCTCGTGATCGAGAAGGCGTCTTCCAAGGACGGGACGGCAAAGGGCAAGTGGTCGACCATTGCATCATCAATGGAACTCAAGCCAATCTTCGACGACGACGCCTCGGACCAGGATTTCACTGTTGGAGCACTCACGGACTTTGTTATCGACTCGTTCCACCGCAATATGCACCTCGGTGAAGAGGTCGTCGCAGCCATCATGATGGACGAGGCACGGAAGGCCGCCACACAGCCAGCAGGGTCCTGGCCGTGAAGCTGTCGCAGTCTTGTGTAGTTACTGTCCCCGTGCAATAGATTTTTTCTCTTCAGAACATGTAAATGGATTCTGCAAAAAGCCAACGGCAAGTGCAGCGTTTTTTTCGTGCCATCATCGATTGATCATGTCCCCTACGGGAGAAGTAATCTTTGACACAAACATTCATTCCTCCGCTTTAACCGGTCGAAGGCACAGTGACGTGCAAATCAGCTCAGCGCAGACCTGACTCGCACATGGCGGTGCTCAGCTTCACACTGTCGCCGTTCGTAAGAAAATCCGGTCGAGGTGGCTAAACGTAGTGATCAGTGCAGTTGCCTTGATGATGTCCGCGATGTCTCTCATTCCCGTTGTGATGGCCATCATCGATGGCGATTAGCCTTTTGCAACTGCTTCTAAAACTCGACGATGATGGACATTTTTTTTTTTCGCGGTCACGTTCTTATTTTTGCGGACACAAGCTGAAGCAAACTTCAATCGCGGGGTGACCACTGTTGCTAAGAGACACCAAATATCCACGTGACGGCGTCTCCAGCAGCCGTCTCAAGTTCACCTTGACCAACTGTAGAAGTAATCTCAGCGCAAATGCTTGAGCATTTCGATTTGCTGCCGTCGAGTGCGGCAATGCCCATTTTCGAGCAAAATCGTACCGTTTGAGCTCTTTTTCAAACTTGTCAATCGTGGCTTTCTTCAAATTTGTCAAGTGCTGCTGCGACTTTATTATCGAGGCCATGCCATAAACAGTGAATTGTTGTACGCAAAGCGCCTTTCATTTCAGAGAATCACTGGCGGTGAATACGATAGGCGGTGCCAAGGAGACCGAAAATCTGGGCACTTTTATCGGATGTTCCGCCCTCGACGTATTCAAAGCGTTCAAGTGTGTGCTCGGTGGGCGCAATCGTCTCCAAAGCCGGGGCCCAAGCCACAGAGATTGCCTCCAAACTGCTGGTTCTTGACGTGCATGTTTCCGGCGTTTACGGGTCGGAGCGTGTTGACTGTCACCATGAGCGGCGTAAACGCCAGTCGTGTCTCGAGCGTTTGCGCACAACTCGCCTGTCTACTGTACCGCGATCGCTTTGAAAAGCTTGACCATTTTCGTTTTCACTCAGGAAGACAAAGCACCGCATCGAATGCCCCATGAGCTTCTCGTACGTCTCGGACGATCCGTCGCGGCTTTCTGTTGATGATGTTCTCGGGCTTATTGACTGGAAGGAGCTGGAGAATGTGCTTTCCAGCCCCGACGACACCAGTCGGCCGCCCATTCACGTCGATGTGCCTATGGACGTGGAACCTGTGGCAACGGAGCCCAATGCCAAGCCCGCGCCACCTCGGCGAGCCCGCAAGTCCAGTCGCTCCAGCGCTGCGAAGACGCAGACCCCTACGGCAGTGCAGCAACCGACTGCTGCACCGTCGGCCGGACCGCCTGTCAAGAAGAAACGTATCCGCCGTGAAATCGTCGAGCTCAAGTTCCTGCGCGGTAAAGTCAAGGAGCTTGAGGAAGAATTGCGCAAGCTGCAGCTCGGGTTCTCTACGTCGCCCAGGGCAGACGGTGAGCCGGTTCCGCTTGACGGACTCATGCCGTCCGTGTGGACGTCTATGGCTGGTCGCCAGCTAAAGGACCGTATGCGAGCTGAACGTGAAAACCAGGAACTGCGAAATATGCTGCAAGATCAGCTTAAGATTGCTCAGGGTCTTGAAGAAACACTCAAACAACTGCCACCCAGCCAGGTAAGCATCAACCGCGCTCAAATTGATGGCTATTCAGTCTTCCGGGTCCTAACAATGGTCCATTCCTAATCGACGATAGGGTCTTGGCAATCAGCCAGCGTCGATACTTCCGCCAAACTTGTTTGGGCCGTCTAGCTCCGAAACCCTCGCAGAGAGCCTGACGCACCTGGAACGCTCTTATTTAAGCGTGGATGAGGCGTTCAAGACGGAAGGTGTGGACAACCTGGAGATGGACAAACATGAAATCAAAGCCATCCTCCATCCAACATACGGCACGTGTATCCGCTTCACCACTCGGATCGCAATGCCCTTCAACTACGAGATCACGAGTCGCGCAATGTGGAGGTTCATTACAGAAGAGGGACTCATCTCGCTCGCCAGCTCCTTCAACGTAAGTATTGACGATTGCCAGGCCATGATTGCTTTGCATCTCTAACTGTATATGTCAATGCCTTGTATAGAAAATCTACACAACCAAGGACATTCAAGCGCATTGTTTTGCCATCCGCTTGCCAGATTCTGAACCTGCTAAAGACTATTGGCTGAACCAAGTGGTCCGGAAGCACCTCGAGGCTGACCGGATGGTTGTCGTGGGGCGATCCACCGTCCACCCTTACGTTAAAGACAACAACCATCCAACTGGTGTTTCGTTTATTGACGATGCAAGGGTCACTGTCAGTGATTGCAGCGGCAACGGTGTCTCGCAGACCTGCGTCAAGGCCTGTGTGTATTTGGTCCCAGATTTTGGGTCGAGCAGCTCCAGTGAGACCGTGGGGATGAACGAGTTGCTGGATTTCTTCATAAAATCTGCCAGCCCCGTGATCCTCCGGTGTCGAGAAATGATCATGACCATGCTACACCAGGAAGCAGAGGCAATCAAACAGACCGCTGTGCGGCTGTAATAATCTGTTGATTCTATGTAAAAATGTAAATTGGTATCAAATCGTAGTCACAAATTACAATAGCACAAATAACAGAGTTGCGCTGGGGTAGAATTCATAAATTACAAAAGGGCTAAAACGTACTGGACTATTTGCACACAACTCGAACGGCCAGATGCACATCCTAGCAATACCAACCGCCTCCACTCCGCCAGGAAGAAGCGCGTGCGACGCATTCAGCTCGATCTACCTCTCTATCGCCAGCACGTCGAAGAGTTGCAGCTCAAATTGACGCGTCTAAAGCTGCAAAAGTCGTCGCGTAATAGCCAAACTACAATCAGACAAGGTCCACTAGTCAGCAAAGGTTCGGTGTGGAACGCCATTGCTGAGCGGCAACTGAGGGAGCGACTCCGGGTCGAAAAGCAGCATGAAGAGTTACAAAAATCCTACAAGCAACTAGTGGAATTTTCTGCTGAGCTGCAAAAGTTGCTGCGCAAAAGTCAAGGCATCAAACAGGTTGATATGATGAACTGATAATCTCGTAAGAATGGGGAAAGCCACAATAAATTATCTTGCAATGGCTTTATGCTGGGGTTGACGGAGCGAATCGAATGGAGACCGAAAATGTGTTTCAGGAATTTGACATCGAACGTGGACGACGAAATTTTCTCGGGGCAACTGACGATTGTGACAAGGTTTTATTTGGAGCTGCAGTAGCAGTGGAATTGGTGCCGAATGCCGAAGTCGATACACTTTGGCTTGGACCTCACACTGGGACAAGAGGTGATCAAATTAGACCCAAACATCAAGGTGGGTATGCGGTTTGAATCACGAAGCAGGACTGTGCTGCCCTTCACATTAGATGTCGCTGTCAAGGCGTTCTGGAAATTCTTTGGCTATTCGCATGGGAATATGCGCAGCCTAGGTGACACTGAGTACTTGGTAAGATCCACGCTTTAATCATTTGCTAACGTTGATCTAAGGGTTGATTAGGATTCTTCAGTTGCAGACGAATTTACTTTCTCGGTCGTTTGCGATCCACACGAACTTCCAGGACTATTTCTCCCAACTAGTTGGCAAGTATACATGCCGAAAAATCGCCACTGAGGACGAGGTTACACTCGTGTGGGTCGAATGCACGGACGTTGAGGAGTTTGGTGGCAGCAAATTCAAAGGGATGCAGTACCTAAAACGAGGCTACGTGAAGTTGCGGAAGATTCCTCGTGAAGGACCTGGCCACGAATCCACGTCGACGATTCTTGAAACGTACTCGGAGACAACCCGGCATTTCGAGATGATATCGATGATCAGGCAGTACGGGTGCAAATTCGAGACCTGGTCAACTCGATCAAACGCTCGTACAGTCGAGTGAACAGAGTATTTTGCCAGACTATAAGCAATTTACTTATAGAGGAAGACTGGAAGGCAACCAACGGTGGCGACTGCCTTATCATGAACGCTACAATTTCGAAGCATTAAACTCCGTGTAACGGTACGGTTTCTCGGCTCTTTTTTCGTAGGACTTTTGTGTATACAATTTCAACTTTGGAATTGGTCATATACAAAATTTGGTCCTTTGTGCCATTCACGTTTATCCGGTTTACAAACTGACACAATGGCAACACCGACGACGCCACTCAGTAGTGGCCCCGTACAACCGAAACAGGAGACTCAGAGCACTGACGGCGTCAAGTGTATAGATATGTCTAGCGCCCTCAACAGTGCACTGTTGCCCAGGAAGAAGCGTGTGCGACGCATTCAAGCGGAACTGCCCTTGTATCGCCAGCAAGTACACGACTTGGAGCTCCAATTGACTCGATACAAGCTCAAAAGCACAAAAACTGCTCAATTAAAAAGCGAAGACGGCCGATGCAACACCCAAAACGGAGGCGGAAGTCTCTGGAATGAAGTTGCAGAACGACAGCTGAAGGAGCGATTGAGAGCCGAGCGACAGCAAGCAGAACTCAAGGAATCGTATAACGAGTTCATTCAATGTTCAACAGAGCTCCGTAAATTACTTACACGAGCGGAAGAAAGTAAACGGGTACGCGGCGGAGATCGCTTTGCCCTCTAAGCTCAGATTCTGTGCTCCCACAGTTCTAACGTGAAAGTCTTCGCAGGAGCTGATGCAATGCGTACAGATCAGCGAGCGGCACAAATTTTGGGATCTCTCCATTGACTCAGCCGAAATTTTCTCGGACCAATTGGTTCAGATAACAAGATTGTACTTGGAAGCCCAACAGCGGCAGAGTCCAAGCTGGTCGGTGCATTTCGGCTCTCAATTGTCAGGGGGAAGGGACGTTCCTAAACTGGATCCTACTGTCAAGGCCGGAGTCGTACTCGAAGCTCGTTGTAGTGTTGTGCTACCGTTCGACCTGGAAGTAGCAACGGATGCGTACTGGCGATTCTTCCGATTCGACCACAGTTATCAGCATTTTGCCAACCAAGCACCAGCTCGATCGGTAAATTTGATCTTCTTTATTCCGTTGATGGTTGCTGAGCTAACACATTCTTATAACCAGACGAATCTTTTCGCACGGTCTTTCGCGTTGTGAACAGAGGTAGGGGGTTATTCATCTGAGACCGAAGGCAGATACACTTGTCGAAAATACGTTGGCGAAGACGACGCCACATTGGTTTGGTCAGGGATGTGGAATATTTTGAAGCTTGGACATGTGAGATTCGACAGGATGCAACTTCACAAGCAAGGTTTTATTAAATTACGGCGGCTATCTCAACATGGAGCAGCGCAGACATCGACGTCAACTCTAGTAGAAACGAGTTTCGAGACTATCCCGGTTTTTCACAACAGCGTTCGTGACTACAAGGAACAAACGAAGGTACTGATCACCTCCCTGAGTCAGTCGCATGACACGATCGATGATTATTTTTGCCGCTTAATGAGTGATATACTGCTGGAAGAAGACTGGAAGTCGACGTTTGGGCAACAAAACACTGGGTCGTTTTGAGCATTTTGGTACTGTAGCATACAGTTTGAATGCAAGTATTCATGCGTCACCACTTGCCGCCTTTGAAACATGTCGGACTACAACATATCCAAATAAAGCCATCGAATGTCACGGAAATCATGCCCGTGTTTCGAAATATCCGGTCCGGTAATACTGAAGTACTTTTCTTTTGCTGCACGGTAATTGAGCAGCGATTGAGCAGGTCAATAGGAAATGCACAATCTGTACGATGTCAGTTTTTGGCCCAATTTGTTTTTATTTTGACTCCTTTACGTGTGCGCAGTACTTCTGTGCAAAATGATACTTAATCGGATTAGCAGACTGTTGTACTTATGAATGATACGTTCTGTGTTCCAAGTTTTCAAAGCAATTAACTCTTCTCACCACAAAAAAGACCGCAACGTTCAATTTCTAGTAGGTCTAAGCTTTCACAACCGAGCACCGTGTTCGTGCAGCAACGCTCACTGACAATTTTGCTGGACAAGTTTACTGTATCGTAGCTTTTGGTGAGAGGGGCAAGATTATACTTGCAAGCACACGTCGAAAGACCGAGAGAGCGATGCACTTCAACTCTGCGCTTTCGATAGGAAGGACATGGAAAATCTTGATCCGAGCGTCAAGGCAGAGGTAGCAATTGATGAGCTTAGTACTGGTCTGCTGCAGTTTACTCGAAAGCGGTTATTCACAAGTATTGGCGGGTTTTCGGCGCGATCAAAGCACGAGGTAAACCTTTGAATATTGGCCAGAGCGTTGGGTAAGTCCGGATGCAGGACACCAAAGTGAAATAATCTTTCTATGTTGACAAACTTGCTGACGAGGTCAGTTATGCTTGTCAGAGGCAACGGAGAGCGAATCGGATAGCCTTCGGATGCGCGTCACGATGCCGGATTCTTCGATATTTTGCGTGAGAGCCATTTTCAATCAAATTAGCAACTACCCAAATGTTGCTTTCCAGTCTTCTTATATTTGGTCCCATATTTTGGATCAAACAGCTCCAGTGAGACCGTGGGGATGAACGAGTTGCTGGATTTCTTCATAAAATCTGCCAGTCCCGTGGTCCTCTGGTGTCGAGAAATGATCATGACCATGCTACCAGAGACCGCTGTGCGGCTGTAATAATCTGGCTCGAATGCACGGACGTTGAGGAGTTTGGTGGCAGTAAATTCAAAGGGATGCAGTACCTAAAACGAGGCTTCGTGAAGTTGCGGAAGATTCCTCGTGAAGGACCTGGCCACGAATCCACGTCGACGATTCTTGAAACGTACTCGGAGACAACCCGGCATTTCGAGATGATATCGATGATCAGGCAGTACGGGTGCAAATTCGAGACCTGGTCAACTCGATCAAACGCTCGTACAGTCGAGTGAACAGAGTATTTTGCCAGACTATAAGCAATTTACTTATAGAGGAAGACTGGAAGACAACAATTGATAGCGACAAATCCAAACACGTAGATGAAAACCACTAGAATGACATCGCAGGACGACAGGTGGAGATTAAATGACAGACCCAAGGAATCGTACAACGAGGTAATTAAATGCTAACCAGAGTTTCGTTAATTATTCACAAGAGCTGGAAAAAGAAAATACTATAATTGCTGAGTGAGTCAGTAGTTGACATTTCGGCATGGAAACATCGAACTTTTAGATTATTACAACCTCAATTCTTGTCGTGAACGAAATATTTTTTTTGAACCTTATGTTACGTCAGAGTGGAAGTAGTGGTACGAATCTAACGGAAGCACCGTGTCGTAGCGCCATTGCAAAAAATACTCTAGACAAGCAAGACGCTTTCAACTAGGTTGCTCAACGCTTTTCGCAGTCGAACATCGCTCTCCAGTCTTCTTGGAGTAACATCTCACTGAAAATCCTTTTAAACATGGCGTTTCCAGAGCTATATGACATATCGAAAGACTTGGCCAGCGCCGTGGTAGGTACTTGGGACTATCCTATTCTTTTTGGGAAAAATTATGCAGCATTCTATCCAAACGTAGCTTTCCAATCTTCTTCCAACAGCAGGTTACTCATATGCTGACATACAATTTTGTTCAATTTGCTGTGAGATCGATAAGCCGAGTCGACAAACGCCTGGGTTTGTTGCAATTTGTCGGCAATGCTGTCGTGAAATACTGGTATAGTTTGAAAGTAAGTGTGGACCACCGTCGAAGTCGATTGGTTCCCAGGACCCTCGCGAAGTACTCGGCAAAGCGTCATACTCGCGCGCTTCTGATACTGCAATCCGTTGAACACAACTCCGCCGAACGCGAGCACATCTGCGTGCTCGACCCACGTGATCGTTATCTTGTCTTCATCCACATTTACTTGACAAGTGTACTTGCCCGACACCTCTGATACCAAACCTTCAAATTCCAGTCGAAGAGAGAACGAGTTCGCAATAGTACCCTTCTGCAAAAAAAGATAATAAGATACTGTTAGTACTGGTTGCCTAATACTACATTAAATGCTTGCTGTACTGATAGGCTTGTGGCACTGCTGTCGGCTGGTATTTCTCCATGTTCGACGCAAAAGAATCGCCAATACGCTCGCGCTGCCACATCCAGATTGAAAGGCACTGTTGTACCACAGTGCATCTCAAGGACAACTCCGTTGTTTCCATCTTGCTTTACCATCATATGGCCTCGTGACAAGCCCCAGTTTACACTCAACGCCGTAGTCGGAAGCTGATATCCTCGCTGTTGCAGTTCCAGTCGAAGCCTTGCCACAGCTGCTAGTTGATCTGCAAATATTTCCTCGTCGGCATTTGCTAAAAGATCCCAGAACTTGTGATGCATAGTGTGGGCTTGACTTGCACACACCGAAATCTCCCTCTCCTGTGCAGTATACTTTTTAGTAAGCTGTTGGAGCTTACAGACTAGGTCGACATTTCCTCCGATTGAGCATCTGAGCTTCTGGTTTCTCTCCACCGCGAGTGATCTATCCCTTAGCTGCAGAGCAGCCAAGCCCATCCACGCAGAAGAAAACTCGGAGTTAGAGGGGGATACATGACTAGCAGTGGAAATTCCTGTGTCTATAACAAAAACACACACACAGCATGAGTTTTTTTTTTTTTTTTTAGTGTTTTCGTGAATTCAGCGTACCATGACAACCGGTTTTCAACCGATTGAGTCGCTTTGACCGCAGCAACGTCACCTTGTTCTCCAGCTTCCCCACGAGGTCTCGGAGATAGGCGAGTTCTCGTTTCTCACGACGAACACGCTTCGGCTTGGGCTTCACCGGACCCATTGGCATCGGCCTTCTTGACGAAGAGTCTTGTCTCCCCACAGAAAATAAACTGGACTTTAAAAAGGTCGCTGCATCTTTTTTTATCGTGATTACTCTATTGAAGTTAAGTAAAAAGATGACGCCAAACGCTACCGTCTTTAACGCACAACGCATTTGATTGGTAGAAATAGAGCGTCGTATATTTTAGTTTTTTTTTACTTTTCAATTAAATCAATTTTTTATATTTTAAATGATTGGTTTTGCTCACCAATATTAGGCAATTTTGCTTCCAGACTTGATTCTGAAGCGGGTCATAGGCTGACAGATTGCCGCTCAATACCTGTAAGTTGTGGATTTTGAGAAGTCCAAAGGTAGAATAGTGTATCTTATAGTCTGCACTGGAGTCAAATACCGTGGAGCCCACAAAGATAAAATCCAACACGTTGTATTCTAACGTGTTGGATTTTGTCTATCTTCGTGGGCTCATCGTTCACAAGAGCTCACTTTTCGTCCGGGACAATGTGTTGTCACTGCCAGCCTCTTCGAAATATCGCAAGATATATGTGCGGTGGAAACGAACCCATTTCGACAGTCGTCCAGGCTGAGTATCTAGCGATGAACATTCAAAGATGCAGTTTCATACCTGACTGGATACTTGAAAGCAACGGACACCGAAGCCAGAGATAGAGGAAGTCCGTGTTCTCGAGCACAATCTGAAACACCGACTCGAGATACTCCGGCTGGAAGCACGCAACAAGGCTCAAGATCGTGGTGTTAAAAACTACGCTGTTCAATAAAGTGTAGCAACTCGCCAGATCACCAACGTATCGAATCAGAACGTGAATATCTCCATGCCAAGAAAACCGAGGAAGTACGCATGGACAGCACGCAAGTACGTATTGCATTCAAGTCACCAGAGAAGTATCCATTGCCTGTACTACTGTAATCGATTGTATTCACAAGGCAGTGAACAAAGTCCTCGACCACCACATCCACTGAATCACGAAAATCCGTTAGTGGATTTCTTTGCTCAACGGGATATTAAGTGGAATACACAATTGTCATGCATCACAATATCCATCACCATTATCCAACTCGAACATGTCAACTGATAAGTCCCCGCTGTCTGTATCGCTGCTCGTCGCCTGCGATGACGCCGCAACTCTCGAGGCTGCGTTTGACCTCGTTGATCACTGCAATGACCCATTGCCAGACCCCGTAGACCCGGATCAAACTCAAGATTTCGACGTCACACTCGACAATCTCTCAGAATTCCTCGATCACGTAGATATCCCCACCCTACCGTCCAATTCTCATTCAGACAATGGATCGGGTCGCCCCCACAACGTCATTGTAGTAACTGAGCCAAGTAGACGACATCGGACGACGCCCAAGCAGGAAATCGCCCAACTTCGAGCAGAGGAGAAGGATTTGGCCTGTACACTCGAGCTTCTACGACTCCAGGCGTATGGCCAGAGACTACGAGACAGTTCAACAAAAAACAGCAATGTGCTGCCATTCTGGAAGAAAATTGCGTCGCGACAGTATCAGAATCGACTGGACTCGGAGCGGGAGAACCGCCGACTGCGATCTCTCGTGAGGATGCACGTTAGTCGAGCTAAGCGCTTGAAACTCGCGTGGAAAAAGCAATTGACTGCAGAGGTGCGTTGGAAGAAGTCACTACAGTGCACAACGTGTATTAAGAGTGTTTTTGCGGATATATGTAGGGATACAACAAAGAAAGCGAGATGGACAGTCAAACTTCCAATGAGCTCTTCGCTCCGGATACACCTGCTGTACTGGAGCAGCTAAAGAGTGATGCTGATGCAGTTTATGCTGGTCTTGACGCATTTTTGGGAGGTGTACGACAGCAGCTGAGAAGTCGAGTCCCGTTCTTGGAGCATAGCGACAGCTATCCACTACCTTTCGAACGACAGGCGGTGGATCGAGCGATCTGGAAAGCTCTCGCCTCACGCTTTCGTGGTCATCAGGTACGTGGAAGAAGTATATTCTGCTTCAGTAATATCGGAACTTAAGTGCTGTATTCCTACAGCAACGAGCGAACGTGGCTGAGGACACGATAACGTGCTGCGCGCTACGGAGCCTTCGAATGGCGAACTTGAATCTGCGTCTTCGGATTCGCTGGGTTGCAAGGAAATATCGCGAAGCTGGCCGCACTGTTATCATCACGCGAACATTCGTGGAGCCACTACACCTCACTATACCTGCCCAAGTAGGATTTAGAGAGACTCAAGTGTCTATCGTTACAGCCACTGATTCTGCGTCATCATGTGTCGATACTCGGGCCAGAGTGACTGGCGACGGACCAGACGGCGGAACAGGCGATGGTATGCGCGCCTGGATAGCTTCTCCTGGTGCTGTAAGGGTACGTACCGTGTGGCTGCAGGCTTTCGAGACACGTAAAAGTGCCATCGAGGATCAACTCTTCGAAGAATCACGAGTTCGTTAAGGCGAGCGAGCAACATAGGAACGCACGTCATCAATGGAGTTATATTACACGTTACGGTTGTTATGGTGAATGCATACGGTAAACAGTGCTTGCGTGAAGATTTGGCGCGTTGAGTGAAGGTTAACAACCGGATGATTGCACCTTCACCTGTTGAACCAATTGCTGGACACTTTTTGGTATTTATGTACAAATATTATTTGATATGTTAGTAAAGTCAGGAAAATCATGTCATCAGTACGTCATTTACGAATTTACCGTCTGTCTAAGTCCTGAATTCCCGCCACAAAACACCAGCAACTTGGGCGACCTTGTGAACCTCGTATCTAATTCCGAGCCCCAACTACCAAAACGCAAAGTAATGCTGCCAAAGCCCAGGAGAACACATGTAGAATATAAGAGAACAGAGCTTGATCAACTCCTATTAGAATCATACAAGTTGGAGACCGAGCTCACACAACTTCAAGGGGTCTACCAAGCACGCGAGCAGAGCGACCCAAGCAGCAAAAATCAAAACATCGCGAAGGCGACGACAGCACACGGCTACCGCCTGATTGAACCACGTAAAACAGTGGCGCGGTTTGTGTGGGAGGAAATTGCTCGACATCAACTCAAAGACAGATGGAGAGCTCAAACTACGAATATTGAGCTGCGTGACAAACTTCAGACCGAGTACAAACTGGAAAGGCAAATGGTGGCCTTATTGAATCGCAGTATGAGGGCAAAGGTGCGTGAGCTTTACCTGTCATTATCCAAGCATCCCCTGGTATGCTAACAAGTATTTTATGTCAAGTAGTTAGCCGATATCCGTGTCTTAGACGATAGACGATAACGATAATGCTGTGCTCAAAGACCACGCCAACCAGACCAAAAATGTACGTTACGAAGAGAAACACAAGTTTTGGGATATTTCCAATAACTCGACGAAATACTGACGTTAGCGAAATTGTACTTGGAAACACTACAACGGATCCCACGTTGGTCGGTGCACTTCGGCTTGGACTTGGCAATGGACAGGGATATTGTTAAACAGAATCCGAATGTCAAGGCCGGGATTGTTGCAGAATCGCATAGTGGCGTTGTACTGCCTTTTTGTACTGGAAGTTGTATCGGAAGCGTACTGGCGATACTTTCGATTCGGCCACAGTATTAAACTACGGCAATTCTCTCAACATGGAGCAACACTAGAATCGACTTCAACTCTTGTGGAAACGAACTTCGAAACTATCCTGGTTTTTCACGAAAGCGTGGGTGACGACAAAGAACAAATGATGCTGACTACCTCAACATGCCACTCGTATACGACGTCAAACGGTCATTTTTGTCGTATAATGAGCGATCTACTGTTAGAAGAAGACTGGAAATCGACATTCCGGCGTGGTAATGACTAAGTTTGTTTAGGAATTTTCATGCATATCCGACATCGCACCTGGTAAAAACAATTGTCATTTTGTTTCATTTGATTAAGTTTCTACACATAAATAGCATGTAAATTTGAAAGCCTTCGATTGATAAACGGAAAGGAAATATCGCGCTGATATTATTGTGCCAACCCGCTGCAACTCGATGAATCTGTTTCAGAGAGATTCAAAGTGTATCAATTCATCAGTGACGAGCTAGTCTGACCCTCAATGACACATCGTGGATTGCTTTTCGAAGAATCACGAGTCGATTGTCACAACTTCAAGAGAGACGTAAAACCATGTGATCGAGGTAACTCTGACGTTTTTAATGATTGTGTTCTGTAAGCAATGCTTGCGTGAAGTTTCGAGTTTCCGTTTATCTGTCAAAGCCGTTAGCACGTGGAGGAGCATGGTTTTTTTGCATGAACTATGGATAAAGGTTTCAACCCGGACTTTAAGGTTCATACCAATTTTGCTCAAGACAAATTCAAGTGTCTATCTGTGGATATGAAGTTCGCAAGCTGCCATTGAGGGTCAGTTCCTAGTAGACTCAAGAAGTGAGTCGTGCCACAGGGCTGACTCAACACTGTTGAGTCTGGGAAAAGCGAGGGAAAGCACTGCTTACACTTTGACAGTAGACACATAAATATGGTACCCGCATGTGTCGAGGTCGCTTGACGTTACAAACGCTATCCAGTCACGGTTCTGTGGTGATTACGGCATGTGAACAGTGCTTGCGTGAAGAGGTTTGTCAAGGTGAAAAACGCTCTACGGGATGATTGCATTATGGCCGGACTTCACCATTTTGGAAATTATTTGCCAAACCACGATTAACCTGTTGCATCGTCGACATCAGTTATGACAACTACACTCGGCCAATTCCAGACGCAATGCGAGAGTTTCGAGACTAAGGTAGTTCGAAGCCCTCAATCGACAGTCCAAAATACGCCGCAGAAGCCCAAAAGGAAACGTGTACGCCGCGAGAGAATAGAGTTGGACCAACTTCGGTTGGAGTCACACAAACTCCAGAGAGAGCTCGCACAGCTCCAGGGGATCCACAACGGACGAGACCAGAACGAAATACACACCAAGACACGAAGCTTCGCTAACTCGAAGATCACCGACGGCTATCAGTTGATCGCACCTCGAAAGAAAGAGCTACGATCTGTGTGGCAAGAAATCGCTCGGCGCCAACTCCAGGAGAGATGGAAGGCTCAAACAACGAACAGAGAGCTACGAGAACAGCTCCAAGCAGAGTACGAACTCGGAAGGCAAATGATGGTCTTGTTGCACCGCAACGTACACGCAAAGGTACGCATTTATCATCCCTCCCACAGGAATAACCTATCAATTTAACGGAAGTTTTTATTCAGCACTCAACAGAGCTCAAGGTCCTCAACAAGCGTCGTAGCTTGCTTCTTGATCACGAGAAGTCCGTGTTCAAGGATCAGGAGCTTCAAGCTGAAAGCGCACTGCTTGAGATGGAGAAGATCTTGCTACGTCCAGCATACAGGAACCCCAGGGCTTGCTTTGTCAACACTTTTTTCGAGGAAAGCGGAAACACTCAAGCGTTTGTCTTGGAGTCAAACATGACCCTTCCGTTTGCTTCACAAGTGACCGCAAACGCAGTCTGGAAGGTCATGACTACGGACAAAATGAAGTACCATTGCTACGAACATTGTGTACGTAGAAGTATACATATGTACAGTATTCTCAGTATCATACTGATTCATTGGACATGTATCGTAGGTTGTCTTCAAGTCAGATACTGTGGTATCTCAGGCGTTTGGGATCCACTTCATCACGGATGTATCGGACGCCGAATTCCGCTGCAAGTACACAGTTCGGCGATTTAGCGACGATGGGCGGATTATTATTGTATGGGTGGCACTATTCGAGCCTATTGAGCTGAACGAGCTTCAGTACCAAGGTGTTCGATGCCGACAGACCGGTTGGGTCGAGTTCAGTGATCTGCAACTGGAAACAGCAACTACAACGTTAGCACGCTCATATTCACGACTTTCAGTCGATGCAGACGAAGATGCTGAAAATAAAGAGCTCCAGACACGGTCGCTGTTCAGCCTTGCACAGCCAATTCACGACAAAGTTGGGACCCTGTACTCGGCTCATCTCGAGATAGCACTGATTCAAGAAGATTGGAAACTGCACGGATTCGCAGAGCCTGTCACGAGTTCTGAGAAAGAAGCAGGTTGTTTGCGATAACTTCGTATGGATAAAAGCAATTCGGCATTGTCAACATTCGCGCGCTCAATAGAAAATATATCCGAGTACATTAGCAGTCGTATACAAGGCCAACGAAAGCTTTAAGATTAAAAATAATGTAGCGAATGCTTCGTTCATTAATATATATATATAAATATATACATACTTAAGCACATTTGTTGACAATCTGATACAGCGTTTGTCATTGTAGCTGCTCTTGCTGATAACATTTCCAGTACATCTACGAAGCAGGGCTCCTCCAATTCAGTATTATGTTGAATTGCCTGTCAAGTGCTACAATCGTAATATTGCAAAACCAACAATAATAAAAATTGCCGTAAATACGGCATATCCAAGTGCTTTAAGCGCTTATTCAGTGGCAAACGTCGTCACATCATTATCAAACTGGTAGTATAGAGAGAAGAAAGGGAACGCGAAGGCTGGCTTGGGGGGGGGGGGGGATTGGAACGAAATCCAACCGAGGAATGTACAGTGCTCGCTCGTGCAAGACAAGTTGTCTTTCAAAAAAAAGAAGAGAAATTTACCGTGAAGATTAAATGAGGTGGCGATACCAGACGTAACGTAGGGGAACGACACATCGGTCAAGTCTACGAAGTTGATTGGCGATGCTAAGATTGCCAAAGGGACTGTCAACAAGATGGCGGTCTCCAGCTTAGCAGACCAAGCTGCCTTTCGGACAACGGCAGTTGGTCATACTTATTACCTATCTCAGATTATCTTAACTGTTATAGCAAAACTAAAATAAAAGCAATTAACTTTTACTCGTGAACCAGCAAGTGCCCTCTGCAAGTCAAGGCTACGCTGACGAGACACCCAAGCGGCCCCACTGCGAGCCAAGGACACGTCAACTTGAGTTAAGTCAAATAAAGAGTTTGGAGTGAGAAGAGACGTGAAAGCAAGAACTTTGAGTGCTGAAGTAACAACATGAGTGAGACTACAAATGGTGTAACCTTCCAGGTTACTACCCGCGAAAAACGGCTTTAACTGAGCGGGAATACGTGAAGATCACGTTGCCAAGCTTTAGCAGTGGAACCACACAAGACTGGCTGAAATGCATTCACTACTTTAACCATCTGTGCCAGCTGGAAAGTGGGCAGCGGGCGTATAGGACTTCCATTTGCAGCTTGAGTTACAGAATGAGGCGCTAAATGCGTGGGTTTTGGTACGCGAGGGCAAGAACATGGCCAGTCCACCAAGGGGCGGAGTGAAACTGTATCGCAGTGTAATCAACTCATGAGAGAGTTGGCCCGTATGCTGTCGAATTTGCCCGTGAACTCAATGGTGCTGGACGAGAATTCCTTGATTCGGTACTTTAAGCAAGCGATGCCTAACGATTGGAAGAGACACTACGAAGGTAGTGGCATTAGCTTGACGCATATGCACCAGACGGTTCAGTATTTCGAACAACTCGAGCAGTCTGAGAGATGGCAACACAAGGAGCACGGGGTCCGACAGAAACCCGGTAAACAGAACAGTCAAAAAGGCGGTAATGGAAATCGTGACCATAATCGTAATTTCCAACGTTCTAGGAATGAAATCCACTAATCCCAAAACGGAGCCAACCAGCGACAAACTGGCAAGTGGTGCAAGCTGCACAAAACTGCATCGCACAACGACAGTGAGTACTTCACGCAGAAAAAAGGCTGCTAACTCGTCGTCCCATCCAAAGGCGAGCGCTAAGAAAGCGGACAAGACGAAATGGACGCACGTCGAGGATGTTGTGAAGTCGGACTCGGACCCGGAATACCACTATAGTAGAGCTTAGTTTTAAATATTGAGCACTCGACTGAATTTCTAGCAAATCACGAAATCACCTCTACGCCAATTAAATGATGCGATGGTTCCAGAAGATACCAAAATACTACTTAGTGTCGCTACTTCAGGTGAATTTTCTAGAATCGCTGAGGACCAAAACATGATGGCAGCATCTAATAACTAGCTGAAGAGACGTCACATACGACCAATCCACACTCAATTTCGAATTTGTACTGCACATCATAGGTCACTATGGCACCTTCCCAAAGAAGCACCCCTAGAGTCTCTGCCAGAGTCGCCAACCGCTCGCTGTCATCTCAAGATATTGCCCAAGGCGTGTCAGTGCTCACTCAACTGGATACCCAGCGCCAAGCAGCTCGTGCGAGTGCAGTGTCCCTGTGTCTCATCGAACCGGAGGACGACGTCGACACGCCGTGCCCAATCTATCACTCATTTCGCGCCAACGACCTCGAAAATCCCAGCCGCCTAACCAACTTCTCTCATCACGAGTTCGAGCGGCTTCGGAGCCAAGTTCGCATGCACATCACCGAGAATTGGAACGTTGGCCGCGGTCGGAAATGTGAACAAACTCCAAAGGACGTATTTTCATGTTTCTAACCGTCTTAAAGCACTGCGGCAAGTGGGACGTTGTCGCCAGTATCTTTCGCTTCAAGACCGGTGCCTTCCAGAAGATGATGTTTTCATACACGAGGGTTATTGCTCCTTTTTCTTTACGACCGGTTTGTCGCTTCCGTTGCCAACAAGTTTACGATGGAGCAGCTCGTGCTGGGTGGTAACACGTTTGACCACCACGCCTACGTCCGCTACGCTACCGATGTTACCTTCCAACAGCGTAACATGCCGTCGGGCAAAATGAAGGAGCGCGCGGCGTATTACAGTGCGAAGCATCACCTTCATGGCTACAAGGTAGAGGTGTCAGTATTACCCAATGGGCTTGCCTTGAACTGTACAAAGCATTACCTTGGTATCGAAGCCGATATTGAGATTTTCCGTCACAACCACGCCTTTCACCTTCAGCACCTTCTCAAGAGCTCAAGCTTAAGGAATATGGCGGATGAGAGTTCGATGAAGGACAAGTATCCGGATTCGTGGTGCGTACTTGCGGACAAAGGCTATCAAGGTTTAGCTGATGCCCTTCGCGCGATTACCCCAATCAAGAAAAGACCACTACAGCAACTGACACTGGACGAAGGCAGGACAAATGATCGCATTGCACACGACCGAGTCATTGTCGAAAACTACTTCGGGCGATTGACAACGTTGTGGGGCAATGTGCTCCGACAAGTATCGATTGGACGAGAATAACTCTGACATGTTCTTTCGCTCCTGCGTCGCTCTTACAAACTTTCATGTGCGGATCCTTCCGCTACGCGACGAAGACGGAGAGAACTACTCGAACTATTTGAAGCGTCTTCAACTTCTTGGAAATGAAATGAGAGCAAAGCGGTTGGAAGTGCAGCGCCGCTATCGGGAAAAACGTCGAATGCGCCTTCGCGGAATGTTAACTGCTCATATCGAACGTCCTGTTTCAGGAAGCCATCGTATTCGTGCGATGGTTAACAGCGACTCAGAGAGTGAGGATTTATTAGACCACGAGAGCTACGTATTCAGTTAGTAGAGATTCGCCGGTTGTTCTTTTTGCGACTTAGAGTTTGAGAATATTTTCAATGATTTGGTAAATGAATCGCTCAAAGAGCAAAGGCAAACAAATCCACCTGGCTTTCTTCATAAACTCTTGTGTGTGTTGATTTTGATAATAATTCGACCACTCCAAAAAGACGGCAACAATTCTACGTGTTGGCGTTTATTATTCCCATTACGCAGTAACTAACTTTGAGATCTAGTGATTAAAACGAAGGCAAAGTGATCACTAGTGTGCTTCACGGAAACGTCGCGAAGAGAGAAGGGCCAATGCGACTTCACGTGCGACTATCGAAAACCAAAGAAGCGAGGGTGGCTTTACTGGACTCTTGTTGCAGCATGAGCACGTGAATTCAACTATTATGGAAGCCAACAAGCGGTTGGGCGTTGATATGACTCCAACGTCCATGATGTTCGAGCAGGTGGACGGCATGGTGAAAGCTGACAGGCACCCCAAGGTGAAGTTTCGGTTCATGGATCTGAACACTGTGTCACACACCACCCACAGATTCGCTGTGATTGCTGACATCAAGGATGATATGGTTGAATATGATCATTTTTCCGACATTACTAGAAGTTTGTATAAAGTGTAGCAGCCAATAGAATTAAACTTGCCAATTTTAAACCAATCATTCGACGTTATCAATGAAATTTTGTCCAATAGTATAGCCAGGAAAATGGCATGTCATGTACGCCAGCCGTTCCGACGTATCGTGTCGGAATGCCCCGCAACATATCTATACCTCCTCGCAATAAGCAAGTGAAAAGCATATCACTTGCATATCTGCCACCTATCCGACAGGAGGCATGGGCTTGGAGGAGTTGGCCCCCGTAAACACAAAGCGTGCCAAAGCAACCGCCGTGGCGGCATTCATGCGCTTTTTGAAAGCTGAGGGTGTGACAGAGGAGTATGTGCGTGCATGTATTGAGCGTGATGAGAGTGGGAAGTGTTTTGTGTCCGTCATGGACAAGTTTGGTATGCATCTTG